AAAAAAAAGTAATCCACAAAGGCTACTGCATCTGAATATAGACAGAGATGCACGCGATGTACACTATACCATGATATATCCAACCCCAAACAAACTTCGGATCAATAAGTGGACGGTGGAGCAGAAGGATAAGTAGAAGATATCACAGAGAAAAGAAAGATGGTAGGTGACCTTAACCCATGCCAGTCACGTAAGGAGATAGTAGGCATGCATTGACACATATGACTGACACTTGGGAACGGTCATGAATATACAGACACAAGTATCAAAAGACCAAATAGCAAAAAGGGGCAAAGAGAAAAGAAAGACCGTACTGCAAACTCGGGATATAGCTGTAAAATGACAATTGGAAACCAACAGCACAAGAACAGTTCAAATGAAACGGAGAGGAGCCGCCAGACCCAAATAACAAGGGCCACAAAAGGAAAACAAACGAGAGCAAAAGAAAGACAACCGCCATTTGGAATGTGAAACATAAATGAGGTAAGCAATAGGATGAAATAAGAAGAAAAAGCTTACTAGAGATCTTCTAGTATGGCCGAGATTTCATCAAGAGTAGGCATGCCGGTGGTCATCATGAAGTGATGCATACGTTGCAAACTTGTGATGCCACTACATTCCAACGGCAACCGTGAATTGTACAGAGGTCACTGCTTCTCCTTTCCAAATCTACCAGCTTGGAAAACGCCATCAACCAATCTACAACAAGATTCGGGCGTATTCAGGGCTTTTTTCAGAAGTTTTGAGCAATTCCAGCATTTCCTTGTCTTGGGAAGACAGCAGGGTTCTCGATGCGAGTATTGCGCCGTGCCTGAACGTCTCGAATCACAGGCGGACTTCCACCATAGGGACCATCACCATAGGCCCCATACTGCGGTTGCATCTCATTGTAATACGGATTATCATCGTAAAAGGGACCGGTAGGATGGGTAGCAGACATGTGACTTTCATCTGAAGCCTCTGAGCGGTTGGCGGCAGAATATGCGGACGAAGCGTTAGACGGACCACGATGTATATCTGTGGTTCTGTTGTTTGCTGCAGCGACCGGAGCAGCTCCTAGAATGCCGATAGGGTCTGTCTCATCCGCTGCCGGGCCCTCAGAATATTGGATAGTGCCATCGCTTGGGGTAGTGACATGATGATAGCCAGGAGCACTTCCTGCCTCAGACATTGCCAGTCCAACCCCAGCACCACTCGACAAATTAGTGGATGCTTTGCGACCAGCCGACGTGGTGCCCCATCCTCGATAACCCGAAGTATCATCTTTGGGCTCGAAAGCACCGCCTCCCATGATAGGTGGAAGAGTTGGATCATTATTCGGATTGAAACCGTACTCCTCTACTTCCTTCCTCCGTTCCTCTTCTGCTGCTTTCTTTGCTTTCCATTTCCTCCAGAAATACAAAGCAGCTAAGATAATGATTGCTACAGAGGCGACCGGTACAACAACTGCAACTGCTATTGTTCCCCCAGCTGAAAGCCCAGAGCCACCACTTCCACTTCCGTTTGTAGCCGAAGTTGTCGCCGATGATCCAGTTGCGGTGGTAGATATGCTATTGGCTGAATTCCCTGTGGAATGAGTGGGTAGAGAGGTATCGGTGGAGGTAACAATAACCGTCTGTGGCCCTGTGGTACCATCAGTCGCCGACTTCGTGATAATTGACGTAACAACTGGGGGGGTATTGGTGTTGCTGCTTGTGGTCGAGGTTTCTGAGCTCGTGGAAGGGGTAGTGGTAGTGCTAGTTGTCGGTGGCTGCGTCGTGGTAGTAATAGAAGTCGTTGGCGAGGAGGTCGATGATGTGGAAGTCGAGGACGAAGAGGAAGAGGAAGAGGAAGAGGAAGATGAAGATGTTGTAGAAGAGGACGTTGTTGGCTCGGATGTGGTTGGCGTTTCGGATGATGTTGTAGTTGGCGTTTCTGCTGTAGGTGTGGCGGCTTCGGCAGTAGTTGCCGCTGGCGCCGCTACAAGAAGTTCAGCGAACCATTCGAGCAATTCACGGATACGGAAAGTGCAGAACAATACTATAAGCGCAGATAATATGGAAAAGGTTCCAGCATACCTGCTGAAGATGCGGGCATCTCAAGATCTGAACTGGCGACCCTTTTCCGAGCCAATTGACGAAAGTTGTCACTCGTCGTACGAGTGACACTTGGCCCTATTGTCGCAAGTTTTACACCAAGGGCTCCTTGAAACTCAGACGGAATGCTGACTGGATATATTGATAATATTCCTAAAAGTGCGTGTGTGGCTGTAGGGCCCCCAAGGGATTACCAAGAAGCAACTTCAGTAACGGACGGGACTGCTCGGGATAACCTCGTAATACAAGTCACATATATAGAGCAGTCGTAGTAATGTAGATAGATGGTTCGCGTGCGCAATAGAGTCGATGAGATTGTGAGTTAGAGTAAGAGGGAACAATCACGTAGAAAGCAATCGTGACGATCAACCTGCCTGGACTTTGGTCAGGGGAAGAAGATAAATTAGTGCGACGAAAACGAGCCAAAGCCGCCAATGGGGAGGGGAGAAGGAAATGTGTTCTTAAAAAAAAAAAAAAAAAAGGAAAGTAGAAATAAAATAGAACAGGAAAAATAACAGACTTACCCAAGCTGATAAACAGGGTGCCATGGGATGATAGGAGGATAAAATGAAATTAAAACAAAACCAGAAGGGTATAAACTGAAGAGATCAGAGTCAAAGTAGGAAAGTAATAAGAAACAGAAAGTGGAGATCGAGAAAACGTCGAATGCTGAATCACAACTGCAACCGGATGGGAGTGGCACTGTTCGTAATATTGCTCTTTGTAATTACAGACTTTCTGATGCCTGAGGTTCTAATCCGGAGTACTAGTAGTAGTGTAGGGAGACAAAACTTTCCCTTGTATGTGTACCATACCTACAAAGTACTACACAATACTGTACACAGTATATCTTTGTATGGTTGCGGCCTGGAGAAATTACTAATTACAGCAAACCTGACGAGTGCGGACAGGTAGGTACAGAGTTGGTAAATTCAGCAACGGTCACAGTTCCACTGGCTGCGATCGGCAATTCCCCACTTCCAGAAGAGCGCCTAACAGTCTAGTGGCTCATGCTAACAGTAAATTTCATATTCTTTAGCAAACAGCTGGGTATTTTTGTCAGAGCATGTGGGAATCCAAGGCCCGCATAGCACTGCTTGCAGTCATGTAGCTTATACACTGTACATACAGCATCTACCATTAACAATAAGTGATGAGTGTTCCTGAACCAGACTTCCATAGGCTATATCGGGGAAAGCATTAGGTATGGGTTTACCAAAAATTACAGGTACTAATTTCCATGAAGATCAGATCTATAATGTAATAGAGCCAACCTGTATGGTATTTAGATAGTGATAATACGCATTTTTAACAGAGGGCACATATCTTTCTTTCATTTATAAAGGCACTTGGAGTATTGCACTTTAATAATACAAGGCTTGATAGAACTTGTTTGGTCCCTTTCAATCTCTACTAGAAGTATCAATGGAGTGGGATTCATCGCTTAAAAATAATCAGTGATGGACTCTGTAAGAGACAGAAATGAAAATTTTCTACACTTGACCCACGAACACAGAACGGAGTAGTGACAGTACATCGTACTAGTGGGAGTACACCGTACAGTCTCTAGGTATGAGATTTTTGAAGTGGGTCCATGTTTCTATGATATTGTATTATGTTTTTTAATTACCCACCGCCTGGGCATAATATTCCTTATTGGCCCTACACACCATAGAGTTCTGCCAACCAATAAACAGCTAGGTTAAAGGACAGAAAGAAAGTACAAAACATATCTTACAGCATATATACCACTGACGCATTCAAAAATCTCGTGGCCAGAAACTGTAGATGGTACAGTACTTGGCAACGTTCAAACAGCGCTGGCCAAGCAACATCTCAAGCTCCACCAATTTAGCATTCTACTGTATACTCCGTATTATCTATGGAGTTGTTTCTCCTTGAGCCGGTGGTGCTCAAAGAGATAAGATGCCTATTATCACCTTACCTAAACAGCACATTTTGAAATTTTTGAGTTCTTTATACCATATTTGGCTTTACCATATATGTTCATGGTATGGTCCTTCCTCACCCAATTGCACAAGTTGCAACTCTGGGTTTTCTGTAACTCTAATCAATATTTCAACAATAGCAAACAGATAATGATAGTAGCAACTCGCTTCTCATTTAAGTTATCAATTGCTGTTACTTCCTCGCTCTCGCACAGTCATGGAGAACACGCTGCTCATGCTCACCTTGCGTACAATATAGGAAATCTGAGCCAGAATCAACAGAAGCCCTAGTCGCTCCTTTCAAGAACTAGCCACACCTAGCCCAAGGTGCTTTGGCATACAATTTGTGGAGTTTCAATCTCCTCAATTCGTACTATAGGTGCAGTATAAGTAATCTAGCAGGGAAACAGCTGATGCTTATTTTCTGCCACACATAATTCGATCGACGGTGTGATCATGTGAATCTAAAAACTGTACTAATAGGTAGGTCGAATAATTACCATGGATGGCAATAAGGAAGGCGGGAGAGGAAACCACCAAGGACAACAGCGAAGTGAGCCGATTATGTATCCTCCCGATATCTCACACTGATGAGCAATCAGCGAAGACTCCGGGAGTGATCAAAGAGATCAAACTCTTTCCATTGGTTGTTGCTAGTAAATCAACAATATTCGCGGCTTATGAACTATATGAACGTAGCTGTCGAAGTTCCGACTCTCAGAAGAATCGGTTTTAGAGAAAAAGAGAAAAAGGGAAAAAGCAAAAAAGAGAAATAATCAACCCTTTGTATACTATGTAAGCCATTTACGTCAAATGATTTGCAAATTGACCCAACTCTCTCAAAGGAGTACAATGTACGAGGGGATAAACAAGCGATATATCGTAACATAGTATGTAGTCACCTGAAACTGGTGGGCAATGGACGAAATCATTACAGCAACAATCGATAACGAGGCCAGACCGAACCAATATATGTTTACTTCCGCATATCCCACGTTGGACGGAGGTTAGTAACCAGGTCGTCCTTGGTACCCACAGTTTCAGGGGGAAGGCGGCTGACACGGTACGCACCAGTGCGTATATTCTGCAGATGAGTCGTCGATATTCCAGTCCGGTTACTGCGAATGCTACCAGAGTCGCTTGCAGTCTCAAGGTTCTTGAAGCGAGGTGGTGGAACAAAGTCCAGAGTGTCATATGTACCCGACTTTCGCAATGCATGCCTGGAACGGGGTTAGTTCAAAGTTATGGTCCAGTGATATACTTGGGTTAGAAAAAGGTTAAGAAGGGGGACAGGAGAAAAGAATATAGGGCTTACGGGCTCGGTATGACGGCAAGTTCATTGAAAGATGAAACAAGTGGAGTATGGGCTCGCATCGTTGGACTGAACGGTTGCAGCCCCCCAAGAGATGTCTCCGGGCGGCCTTCCCTCTGGTCTCTGTAACTTTTCCCGGGGGCGTATTCGATAGCTCCCAGTATAGAGTCATCCTTCAACATGTGAGGTGTAGGTAGGAGCTGGAGTGGAGCTGGAGGAGGTGCAGGCTTGCGGATTTTCGGAACACCTGGCAGTCTGCCAGAAGCAGATGAAAAGGCACGTGGGCCTGGGGAGTTGAGTCGATCGCTAAAGCCACCGATAGAACCTGAAGGCATATGTCTACTTCCCCCTTGAAACCGCGGCGGGGCGCGCGGGGGGGGAGTCATAGCCCGACGATTTATTGGCTCAGCAAATGGTGCTGGGACACCGTCGTAGTAATCTCCAGTAGCCGAATCATATATATAGTTACCATCGTGATAAGACTCGGGACCATAGTAAGTCTCCCTCCCATTCTTGGTCTCGTCGAAATATTCCTTGTAGAACGATCGGATACGGTTGGCCCGCTGCTCTGGGTTGTCTGACAAATCCTCTGGCGGTAGAGGACGCAACCCTAGTGTCAACCGACGCGCATCGAAACGAGGATCAACAGTCAACCGTGGCGTTTGTGAAGACTCTTCCAGGGGAGTATCACGGATAACTGGATCAGGGCCCTTGCCATATCTTGGGTCGTTTTCTATCCGGTGAATGTTCACAGCTGGAATAGCGGGCTCAGGATCTTCGTTATCATCGTAGTCGCTCGCTGCATCGCTCAGAGGAAGAGATATTCTAGGCTTCGCTCTAGGATCTTGTAAAGCAGGGTTTAGGCGTTCTTCCGAGCGGTCATGGGTGTCGCTATTGCCAAAATTACTGGCGCCTTTGGGGCCGTTGTTGGCAGGTGTAATCGACTCTTTGGTATTATGAGCTCCGGGGATGAGAACAGGGCTAGGGCTTCTGGGCAACTCGAATTGAAAGCCCTGATCCGGTTGTATAATCGGATCAACTTGCATATGTGCGCCATCATCGCCAGGAGATATATACAGTGGTGGACTGGATCGCGACACCCTTTGAGCGTTTCCCAATAAGCCTTCCTTCATATCATCGCCGAGGGCGACCTTTCTAGTTGATCCTGTAAAGCTTGATGCATCATCTTGAGCTCCTCTTGACTGCGATCTGACAGATGCATTGTCGCCTAAAAATGAAGTCGCGTGTCGGTATTTATCATCGCCGCCTATAGATCTGGACAAGGAATGCAGCGAATCCCGGGAACCGTGCAGGCCTGGGGGTAGTAGGTAAGGACTCGGGCCAATATCCAATGAGATGCCCTTGTTGTGATTATAACTACCATTGGACTTTTCAGTCTGCCGCATCGCTTTTCCTCCGCCCGTTGGCTCCAGATCCAAGCCGAAATCAAGCGATCTATGCTTGTCATTGGCATCTTCGTTCCGGAGCTTCCTCACGTTTCTTCGATGTAGATAAACTAGGACGATTACGGCACAAAGTATCGGAACCCTATACTTCAATCAATTACCATCCCATACACAGATCCACACGCTTTTCAATGGGCCAAGTCTCTCTTTCTCTTTTTAAAATTTTTTTTTTTCAATGTGTTGGGTGGGGGGGGGGAGGCTTGTGGAATCTGAGGGGAATCCCGACATACACTGCTCCCAGCACGACAGGTAGAGTCGTCGTCGTCGTCGTGCTAGTAGGTTTCTCGCATTTACTTGAGGTATCTCCAGCTGAGCAGGTCTGACTAGGGTCGGAATCCCTTTTCACGAACGTTGGTATTTCAGGCACAAGATATGGTAGTCGATGGCGAGGTACTATATCCGGGCGACGTGGGGGGGATCGAACCACCATATGAATGTCATGGTGAGCTTGGTGTCGGTAGTGATAATGCATGGTCGCCCGAAGCCCAAGTACGATTGGGGCAACAGGCGGACTCAAAGGGTAGGGAGACACCAGACAGTACTACCCTCAGTCGTGTTTCATGTGCCCTTGGAGACCAGACAATATACGGCAAAATCACCTGAATATTTGTACACGTAAGTCATGAAAAACAAAGATTGAACAAGGCAAGATATCAGCCGGTAGAAAATATGATCAGTCGCATATATCAAGAGATGGCAGTTCTTAATAGAGTGGCTGACAGAGAACGACGGAATCAACGCCGAGAACACACTTGTTGCAAATGAATGAACAGGAGCGGGTAAGCTCCCTTAACGAATGGCGGCCAATGGCCAGGAAGAGCAATAAGGAATGTCTATGATCTTAGTGAGGAGATCGCAATTTGGAAAATGACAACAGGGAGCGAAGAAGAAGGGGAGAAAAACAATAAATCGCAAAAAAGAAAGAAGGAGAAGTAGAAGAAAAGAGTAAAAGGACAAGAAGGGGGAAAGACCGAGAGAGAGGGTGAGCGTAAGAATAGGTAGCAGCGGTCTAGATGGCCTGTTTCGTTCTGTATCTAAGGTAGGTTGTGGGGAAACACTATTGGGGTGTATCATTGAATAAGACAAGTGACAAAAGGTACTGTACTGTCACTTGAAGCATAGGTTAGTACTAACCAGGTATTAGGTCTACTAAGTTCTAGCGCATCAGTAGAACAGTACGGAGTACTAGTAGTAAGCAGTACAGCTTCTGTGTAATTGAGGCTAGTACCACTCCGTACCACTACGTAGCACATACGTCTTATGGGGTCCCCCTGAATCATAGTGGCTCAGACCATCGTCAAGTAATGAAAAGCGGAGTCAAGAGCCATACTCCGTAGGGCAACAGTGTATAGATGAAACCCCTTAATAGAACCCTCATCTCTCGATTGTGTTTGCTACGGTTACATACTTACCTATAGAAGCTACTCCACTCCGATAATCAATTTTAAAGATTCTCTGTATATATGCTGTTCCTGGAGAACTGCTGTATCTACAACATCGCTACGTGCGTTGGTATTGAACACTGAGGTGCTTGTATCTAAAATAAGCGATCCCCTGAGTAAAAAATTCGGGCAAAGTGGAGATGCCAAGATCTTTTAGCGTCAGGAACCCGCTCCGCTTTTGGCCAATAATACCGCTTCTTCGAGACCAGCCCCTTTCGGCCCCTACCCACCTGGTTATCAGGTTTACTATCCTGGTTTGTTTGACAAGTGGTACGAGGCCTGGTATGTACTCCATACATTGTGCATACTCCGTACTCAAATATGTCTTACCTAGTACTCCGTACCTCAGTACCTAGCTACTAGTTAGTTAACTAGCTGTACCTGATTAGCTAATGACTCTGGGTAACTAGTATATAGTAGTAGTTAGTTATATCTCTCTGTCCAACCAAATCGCCTGCTTTGTGCTTATCGTTGGTAACGTTTAAGGTGCCCCGATCACCCGCTACCCACATTGGATGAATAGTATCTACTCAGGAGTATTACCAGCCTTCCGTTACCCTCCAAGCATTACACATTAGGCTAAGGAATCCATCTATAGCAGTCTCTTAGTCTCATCCTCATATCATCGAGTATTGATAAGGGCAAGACAACGGCGCGCCCTGCTACTTGAAAGGTATGGTTGTATTAACCTGTCGCTTCAGCTGCTCAACTGCCTGACTGCCTTGCAGTACGGAGTAGTAGTTAACTATCACCAACGACTCGCTTTACTAAGCAGCCATAAGAAACTCCCCACTACGAAGGCAGGCTGATGATGGGGGGAGGGAAGGCTTTTGTTGAACACTATACTAGTACTTACCTCCTTGGAGTAATATTGCCCCGACAACAAGCTGGTTGGGGCTCGGGAATTGTTCCGGAGTATTTCACATCGCGAAATGTCCCTAGAGGCCTTTTGATTAGATTGTATGTTCTACTCCCATACCACTGATAATTTATATACATACCTCAAGATCTCGCAACAAAACATCAGTTGGCCATGTCACTTCATCTCTATGTCTTCTGTCCATTTCTCTATAAATGGGGTGGCAGAAGTTGTTTATTCGCTGCTCAGTTTGTGTTCAGCCTCATACTCTCCACACCTCCCAGCCCGTTCTAATTTATAATGAACTTTTTTAAGAGATATATTCTCCAGGGCTATAGTAACGAGCATGCTGACTAGTCTTTATCCAAAGTATTAAGAAATGCGTTCTACCGGGCATCATAGCTCTATGAATCTCTGCTTGTGTTAGGCGTCTTCTATGCTAAGAGCGCTGCTACACGCGGTTACATTCTCCACCCCCCTCTTCATAGCGCCCTCTCTCCCCCCTTTTGCTCTTTTCTGGATGCTTAAGGGGGTCACTTTATACCTTGCTGTGTGGACAAGTTTCATGCTGGAAACCACCTGATTACCTGTAAAATCAATCCACAAGTTACAACGACCCTGCTGCTGATGGAATCATCAAGCTATTTAATTTTTCATAAAGTGATGAGAACGATTGGAATATTTGACTGTTGACATTATTTAATCTTTCCCAAGTCTTCATGATGTGTCATACACGCCATTATCCATCTTCCCCTTCCACCCAAACCCCACGACCTTCAACATATCCGTACACTTTCCTAGCTGTAAGTAAAAGAAAATGAAAAAAGGAGACAAAATTAAAAGCACAATCGATGGAGACGGAAAAAAAAAGTACCAGTGGTGGGCTGCCAAGGTAACAAATGTGAGCCTTGAATATAAACTAGGGTTCAGTAAGACAGTTTTCAAAAAAGAGAATAAGAAGGATCCAACATTGCAATGCTCTCGCAAGGGTCGCCAAGGCATACAACGCAACGCTTCCAGGGAAATATACACCAATGAGCACACTTGTACATAAGAGATCTATTCAAATAGATAAACAGTCTCTTGAACGACGAACTTTCTCGATGAAGAATGGCCAAGAAGACCAAAGAAAAAAGGAAAAGGAAGAGGTTATTTAGAAAGGAATTGTTAGAGTTGACACTATATCAGGTGTCTTGCATGTTAGCCGTATGCTTAAGACTTGAAACTTTTAAAATCGAAACAAAGAAATGTCATAGTGAGGCTTGGAAGGTGGAGTATATCATGATAAGTAGAAAACTCGATGTATGCACGTTAAGCAATGCAGCGCGTCTCAAAAGTCGAAACATCATCATTAGAAGATTGGCTGAATATCCGGCTGAACGGAGGGACAGAATGATGGATGTTCTCATCGGACTCAGGCGCGACCCCCTCTGCTCTGCGAATTACTTCTTTGAGAGCACGAGTTACAACACCGGCTCGGAAAACGAGGTCGTGAAGGGATTGTGTATCGAAGGGGAGTTTTTTCGACCTGGGGGGTTGACGATCCATGAAGGATGAATCGCGAGATATTCGTTGCTGGTAGATCAAATCTAGCACCGAATTTGCCTTGACAGGGGTTTCCTTGTGATTAGAATTGGCAGTGACTTGGGTTGGGCCTAACGGCTCTGAGAATGAAGCTCTCCAGGACTCTCCACTGGTTCGTTTGAAGGGGTCGTTCGTATTGGCCGATTCTTCCTCAGAATCATCAAAACTGAAGGTGAGAGAGGACGGTGAACCCGGGGGAGAATGGCTATGCTCTTCATCATCAAGGGTAGCCAAGTTGACAATGCCCTCTGCTTCTTTCCACAGTTCATTAGATGGTCCACGCACAATGTCCAAGAAACTAGCTTGACGGCGAAGGCGTTTAAGTTCTTCAACTAACAGGGTCAGCTCTTGAACCTGTCCAAACTGTCCATGGAGACTGGCTTGACGCTCCATTATAGCCTGAGGGACTACCATGCTGCGCCGGGAAACGTTCTTGCTCGTCCGTATGCTCTCGCTGATTGTACTTTCGTCCGCATCCTCAAAGTCGAAGTCACTGTCCCAGTCTTCACTAACACCCTTGCTGCCTAACCCCCAAGTGCCAAACTTGCCTGATGTTTGCCGTGTCTCGTTGGTAGCTGGATACTCTCTCGATACCGGGACACTTTGGCTCCGAAGATGCAAGGTATTTGGTGCTTTGCGGCCCGGTGCTCGACTACCTCGGAGCTCAGGCCCATGTTTTCCATGAACCGTGCGGGGGCGTCCATCAGGCCCAGAAACTTCGCGGTCATTTCTGGGTTGTTCAGACCAGTCAAAAATATTCATCCTGGGGCAAAATTCAAGCATCTCATTGGTAACGCTGCGCGAATTGGACTTAGTTAAATCGAGAGGAATATCTGACCTGCCATGAGCGAACAATATATCACGGCCAGCATAACTCCCCTCGAAGTCATTCCAAGATATCCTTGGATATTTCGACTGTTCGTCCAGTTTAACCAATTCTCCAGGTAACGCAGCTACCAGGCTGTGGGCGTCTTCATCGTCCGTCAAATCGGATGGGAAGGATATTCTACTTTCCTCTTCATGCATATATTTTTCTTGAGGGTTAGGGAGAGAGA